TGTGTGTGTGTGTGTGTGCATGTGTGTGTGCATGTGTGTATGTGTATGTGTGTATGTGTGTGTATGTGTGTGTGTATGTGTGTATGTGTATGTGTGTGTGTATGTGTGTGTGTATGTGTATGTGTGTGTATATGTGTGTGCATGTGTATGCGTGTGTGTGTGTGTGTGTGTGTGTGTGTGTGTGTGTGTGTGTGTGTGTGTAAAATAGTGCACACAGAATGTAGCATTAAATCTAGTTCAATCGGTCCACTAGAAGTGATGGAAATATTCCTTGTAGTTAAGAGAGGTCTTATGTAGACAGGAAACCATCTCTAACTTTTCTCTCAGATGTACCCAGGAGGATTTAGCAAGTGTATTCTTTGCACTTCTTAGGTACCTGTCGGTGCCCACACTGGCATCGGTTGGCTCTGAAACTCAGCTGTGCTGGGCTGATCCTTCTTGTCCTGAGCCTGACTGGACTCAGTGTCTCAGGTAAGTGAGGCAAGAGCTTTAGATCCATAATTCTCCAATAAACATTAGTCCTCTTCATAGCATTTGACCACCTTGAGCCTAGGGGAAGGTCAATGACATCCAATGTTACAGGACAATATCCTGTGTCCACTGCAGAATCTTTACGTTATGGGGTATGGGGTATGAGATATGGCATAGAAGCCTCTTGAACTATAAAAACTAGAAGTCAAATTGTGACCAAAGATGACAATACACTAAAAGACCCCCATATTTAGTTTATCACATGCCTGCTAAAGCTTTTCTTGGGGTGGGTGTGACTGTGAGCAATCTGAGAGTTTCAGCAACACCCACAGATTGACCTGTCAATCAGATGATAAACAACCTCAGAGCGGTGTGAATCCACATGTTCTGTGTGTTTCTTGTTCATATATCCTGGTTCTAAACTTGCCCCTTAATCCAATTTGCTAATATTTTATCCTGGGTCCAGATGTTCAGATGAAATAACTTGACTTCCTGAAATAAGAAATAAAGCAAGCTGGGTGTGGTAACACACACCTCTAATCCCAGCACTTGGTTGGGTGGGTCTCTATGAGTGTGAGGCCAGTCTGGTTTACAGAGCGGGTTCCAGGACAGTCCAGGCTGCTACACAGAGAAACCCTGTCTCAATCCCCACCTCCCAAAAGAAAAGAAGGAAAGAAGGAAATAGAACACATCTGTTCCACCATTCATTTCAGCATTTAATCCTCTCTGTGTGATTTCCTATTTACTAGTGGGATTCTTAGTGCAAAAACCACCAATAGAAAAATGCAGTGCGGCTGCTCAAGAGAACAGGACTGAACCAAAAGGTAATTGTGCGGCTTGAATTTCCCGAGAATAAGAGGTGATTTTGACATAAAATCTAAGTTACCTCAGTTAAATTCCATAAGAGCCCTCAGTGAATACACCATATCACCTTTTATGTCTTAGAAAACAGCCAAGAAACCATTAAGAAATCGCAGGCAGCCATGCAGTTTGTAAACATTGGTGGTGGGAATTGAATTGCACTGAATTGGGTGACCTTGACGTTTATGTTTTCAGGCAACTGGCCATGCTGTCTCAGGCTGCTGGTGCACGTGATCCCTAAAAGGCAGATAAGAAGTGAAAAAGTGGAATATTTGATTATTTTTTCTGAAGTTAATAATAGAAACAAAATATAAAATAAATCCTTCGTTGTTAATTAGGGTTCCTTGCCATGTGACAGCATTAAACTGTTCCAGCATGCTCTAATGAAGCAACTCCTGTATGGAGTCGATTGTGGTGAAGCAGGAACAGGGCAGAAATAAACAAGTCTTCTTTCTTACTCTAGGGAGATCAGCCATGCTAACGTGTCCAGGAGACTGGCATTCATACCGGGATAAATGCTTATTTATTTCTCAAACTTACGGAAATTGGTCTGAAGGTCTAGCTGACTGCTCTATGAAAGAAGCTACTTTGCTGTTCATTGAAGATGAAGAAGAATTGGTAAATGGTTAAATAAAATTGCTCAGTTAGAACATAACACTTGCTTGATGTCTCTGCTTAGGAAGTGGAGATTTGGATTTTAAACAGCTCATAGCCTAAGAAACTGACAATAATGGGATGAATCAATTAAAAGTAGAAATATACAGAGAACAATTTCACAAAGAAGAGAGAATTATGAAGTTGGGGCGATAGGAAGGAGTTCAGACAGCAGTAATAGTGTTTTAGCAGTTTAATAGAAGAAAGTAAGTCATGAATAAAAGGATTGAAGATGAAGTCTCCCACTCTGTTTTGATTACAGAAATTCATTCAGGATTTCTTAAAGAGCAAAGAACATCAATTTTTTATTGGGATAAATTATGTACCAGCTGAGAAGACATGGAAGTGGATCAATGGCTCTATTTTAAACCCTGATCTGTGAGTATTAAATAAGCTCATTTGAATATTCAATTTATATTCTTATTACTGAAAATTTAGTTTTGGAATTTTGAATTAGTTTATAAATTCTTGAGAGTGTAAGAATGGGCTGAAATATCAGTTGAAAATTTTCTTGTACAAGTAGACATCATCCCTTTATGATAATGTATGTGTTTATTTATTTACAATGGGATTTTAAAAGAGGGAATATGTCTGTTTGGAAATCATAGGTTTTCTTTTTCTTTCTTTTTTCACACACTCACTTACCTAGAAATAAAAAAAAAACTTTTAATGTTTTATTTTATGTGTGTATGCCTGAGTGTATTGTGTGGCCCGAAAAGGGCATTTGTTTTCATAGAACTGGAGTTACAGATGGCTGTGAGCTACCCTGTGGGTGCTGGACCTTGAACCTGGGTCCTCTGCAAGGGCAGTAAGCACTCTTACCCTTTAAGCTATTTCTCTAGCCTCTACACAGTAATTCTTAAGCAGTACTTTAGAATTGTGGCAAAAATGTTGCCATATACTATGGTGTGTCATGAAATTTCTTTAGGTAGAATCTATACAGACATTGCCATTTTAAAATAATTTCACACATAGTAAGGTTTGATTTTTTTCCTTTATGTTGATTTTCTTTGTGTGTGTGTGTGTGTGTGTGTGTGTGTGTGTGTGTGTGTGTGTGTGTGTGTGTAATTGTACTATTATGTAAACTGCTTACTTAATTTTTGTTCATAGTAAAAATATGATGACAAGTGAAGAAATCCGTGTATAGCAGCGGATTTAGCTCAGTGGCTGTGATTTTACTCTTTGGATGAGGGACGCTCTGATTAGACAGCAGTGACCTGATAAATTTGGAGGCCATCCTGTTACAATATAAAAAGTCAGTCAAACCTGCTTTTGTTTGAACTGGCCTGAGAAAATGGCTCTTGGTAAAAGCTGTGGCTGTGTAAACATCACAGTGTGAGTTCATTCTGCAGAGCCCTTATAAAAAGTCAGATTCAGAAGTCCACATGTGTATCACAGCACTCCTGCAGAGACACAGGAGGAGGGGACAGGAGAGTCACCCAGAAGTCCACTTGTGTATCCCAGCACTCCTGCAGAGAGATGGGAAGTGGGGACAGGAGAGTCACCCAGAAGCACCTGGGCCAGTGAGTCTGGAATCCACAGCACAGTGACAGAAACAAGGTAGAAAGGGAGGCTCCCCGCGCCCCTCCTCCCCGCTCCAAATTGTTCTCTGACTTCTACATAAGCTCTGACTCTTTCTCAACCATCTCTTCTCTAACTCAACCCCCTGAACCCTTGTTTTTAGGCAAGGAAAACAAGGGGAAAGTAAAATTTTGCAAGCAGGGATGTTTTGGAAACTAAACGGGCTGTTAGACTCCTCACTGAATGTCTGGCTAGGGAGGTCCTGGGAATCCGTCAAGGGCTTTTTGAAAAGAAGTCATTGATTTGAGCAGATTGGCTTGAAGATTGAAGAAAGAAGCGAAGGGATGAAAAGAAATGTAGGGACATTTACAGAAGTCGCTCTGAGGGAAATAGTTTGATTAGCTCTAGGGTGACATCAGATTTGCTGCTAAGGTGTAGGGGCTCCATGAAGAAATGAGCAAAGGAAAAGTGACAGCTGTGAGGGAGCCCTGCCTACTGCCTGATGTGTGACAAGCTCTGCTGGATCCAGGGTGGACTTGAACTCACCCCTTCCTTATAATCACCCTAGAAGATCCCTGTTTTAGTGCTTTTCCTCTGTTCTCATACCCACCTGCAGCAATCCACAGGAACCCTGTGTGTGTGTGACTAGTGTTTCAATAAAGCAAAGACCCACCAGTTCTGGGATGAGACAGGAAGAAACCTGATGTCCACATAAGTTGAGGCTCTTTTTCTCTGTGCATCCAATTCTGTAGACCCACTCTGTGTTCACTGTGTATGTTGAATACATTTATGGAGCACCTACCATGTGTAACTCTTGTTGTGCATTAATGTATATCTCAATCCCTTCCCTAAGCAGTAGTTGGTTATAACCTATTTGATTAATGAAATTGGAGCTCAGCACAATGAAGATACTTTCCACATGATCACATGACATGTTAGTATTCCACATGATCACATGACATGTTAGTATTCCACATGATCACATGACATGTTAGTATTCCACGTGATCACAGGACAGGTTAGTGGCAGATCTAGGAGTTTTCATGACAGATTCTCACACCTTCTCCTTTTCATGCATCATGATAAAGATGCCTGATGGACTAATTCTTCTCCAATGAAACTGCAACTGAAAGTTCTAGAGGTTTCTATTGGCAGCATCTTTAATGTTTATATGTGTGTATACTGTTTGTTATTGTGTGCTTACTATGATGCTTAAACACTATGTAATCTGCAGCATCCTTAAATATCCAAAAATGGCTGATGTGATCATTGTTAGAAAATCCTAAAGATTAGGAGCAGCTATTCTTTGCTCTTCAGATTACAGGTCACTGGCAAGGCCAAAGAAGACAGCTGTGGTGTCATCTCAAAGACAGAAGTGTTTTCTGAAACCTGTTCTGCAGACAACCGTTGGGTCTGCCAAAAGAAACTGAAGCATGTCTGAAATCCTGTGTCCTGACTCCTGACTGGGAATCTCATCTCTATCAGATCTGCATTGAACTGTCAAGGCTGTCGGCCCTCCCAGAACAGTTAGTGGCACAAAACATGGACTATAAAACCTCTGTGACTTACAGATGCTCACTTCCAATGTCTTATTCTGTAAATGTAAATGTACACAGACACAGATGTGCCATTCCTTCTAAGAGGGGTGCTCTATAGGAGGAGGCCCAGGCCAGCAGGGGGCACTGGAGGCCTGGTGTGGCCTTTGTTGATCTCTGTCCCTGAGGTTATCTGCAGACAGCTGTAAAAACACTGTTTACAATCTCTACTCTCCACTCCAAGCTGTCTCACATCTGGGCTGTAGAACCTTGATTAACGTCTTTGCTCCTGGCTCTGACTCCAGAGGCTCAGAGTTGTCAAGGGAAGAGTTTGTTTTTATGGACACTTCCAAAATTCACAATTGACTATTTCTGTGATAATGAGAGTGACTCTGGGTAAACTGAGCTCTGTCATGTGACACTTCCCACTCTGCTATAATCCAGAATCATATCCTGGAGAGTTGGTGGCATCTAGTTCTGGGATTGACAGTCTCCAGAGCTGTAGACAGGAGGGTCTCTTTTCTCCAGTTTATTATTATGGCAACAAAACTGGACTTAGATGATGCCTTAACTCTTCCCACTGTTCCACAGGCCTTTCTATTTTAATTTTTCATCACTTGTATAGCTTATGGACTCATGGACAAACTGTAGTAAGTATGCAATTAAATATTTAGTTATTTTAGTAAAAATTAATGACTTCTTAATTCTTCAGTTGGAGAAATTAAAAAATTAAGTATTTATATTTGATAAATCTCTTGTGTATCAACTTTTATTGAAAAAACTGGCAAATTTTCAGTGGTAATCAAAAGAAGAATAAAATTGAATTTACTATATCAGGAGGCTTACTAAAATTTCTATTAAAATAGGCATCTACATACTCTAGACATTCATTGCATAATTTAATTACTTAAATTGAAGCATATGCTAATGTCCAAGTGAAATTTCAATTAAAAATAATTTTAAATAAAATATTATTATATTGTATGGATGAATGTTCTGCTTGCGTGTGTGTCTGTGCACCGTGTGCATGCAGTGCACTTAGAAGCCTGAAGGGGGCGTTGGATCCCCTGGGACTTGGGTTTTAGATGGGTGAAAGCTGCAATGCCTGTGCTGGGGTCAAACCTGGATCATCTGCAAGATCAGGCAATGCTCCTAAACACCAAGCCATTTCAAAATTTCAATATTCTTTCTTGTCAGAAATAAGTACTTATATTGTTGTTGGTAATATCTTTCCAATATATCAAACATCAAAGAATAATTCATTTGTGAAAATGAAATTTATTTTCCAATCCTTGGGATTAAATATACAGTCTAGAAACATGCTAGGCAAGCCTACCCAAGTTATACACTAGCCCTTCACTTCTAGTCAGGGCTTCTACCACTGAGCCATGCCCCCATTATTGTTTTTTTTTAGACCAATGAATAAATTTTATTGAATGTAAATTACACTTTAAAAAGTACCAGCTGACTTTTTAAAGTCACCACATTTTGTTCATTTTTACAAAACTCGAAGATAACAAAGAGTCTCAGTTTACACTAAGGAAATGCTGAGAGAGGACTGGATGCTTAAGCTGAGGAGGACACGAAACAGAAATGGGCAGAGCAGAGTTAGAAACAGAGGGTCCGAGAGTGAGCAGTTCCAATTACACTTTAAACAGACATTTTTGATTCTGTCCAGTCCAGAGTTCAAAAGTGACTGAGTTTCTGTTTCTTTTTTCCTAAGTGATCTCCTGAATGGATGCTGGGCATGAGGGAGTAACTGATACTAGCATGTCTTCTGAGTAGCTTTGAAAATGGATCCCTAGATTTTCCTAACAGAAATGCACTGTACCAATTCCTCAGGTTTAACCCATTACTTAAATGAGTTTTGGGTCTCCTGAGAATGGAATGTTACAATAGTCTTTGAGGCCATTGAGCCTATCAGTGCTCTGTTGAGTCCTATTTTCTCCAGGTAAAAGCATGGAATTTGTTTCTGGTCCTATACAGACATGACACACCATTGTGTCTGTTGTGCCCAGACTCTGAACTCCCCAAACTACTAAGAGACCAGAACCAATGCAAAAGCAAATTGGGAGCATGGGGGGGAGGAAGGAGCGAGGTAGGAGGAAGGGGGTGGGGTTGGAGAACATGAGAGATCAGAAAGATCAAGGCAAGAGAAGAATAGAGAAAGAGAGCAAGAAAAGAGATCCCTTAATAGAGGGAGACATTATAGGTTTAAAGAGAAATCTGGCACTAGGGAAATGTCCAGGGATTTACAAGCATGACCTCAACTAAGAATCTAAGCAATAGTAGAGAGGCTGCCTTAGATGCCCTTTCTCTATTATGAGATTGATGACTACTTTAAATGCCATCCTAGAGCCTTCATCCAGTAGGTGATGGAAGCAGAAGCAGGGACTCACAGCTAAGCACTGAGCCGAATTCCTGGAATCCATTTGTAGAGAGGGAGGAACGGTGAGCAAAAGGATCAAGACCATGCTGGGGAAACCCACAGAAACAGCTGACCTTAGCAAGTGAGAGCTCATGGACTCCAGATTGACAGCTGGGGAACCAACATAGCACAGAACTAGGCCCCCTGAACGTGGGTGTCAGTTGGGAGGGCAGGGCAGTCTATGGGACCTCTGGCAGTGGAACCAGTATTTATCCCTAGTACACAGACTTTGGGATCCCATTCCCTATGGAGGGATACTCTCTCCCAGCCTAGATACATGGGGAAGGGCCTAGGTCCTGGCCCAAATTTTGTGACAGACTTTGATGACCCCCCCATGGGAGGCCTCACCTTTCCTGGGGAGTGGGAGAGGGTGGATGGGGGGTTGGTGGAGGGCATGGGAGGGCTGGAGGGAGAGGGAGCTGGGATTGGTATGTAAAGTAAGATTGTTTTAAATTTTAAAATTTTTTTAAAAGGATAAGAAATACAATCAGGGGGAATATTTCAGTCTGTTTCATGATATTGGAAATGGATTTTTTTTAAAAAAATTCCTTTTAAATTGCTTTTAAATGATGCATGGTGTACAGAAAAGATTAATTTCTTCATTTTAATTTTATATTCTGAAATGATAAGTTACCTTATCAGTTCTAATGAGCTTGTTTTCATGTATGTCTGAGACATAGTGAGAGACATGGGGGTTTTCCTCCTTTGAGAGTCATATATACCCACAATGCATTTTGACCATATCCACCCCTCATATCTATTATTCCCCTCCATCCCATCTCAGACCCCTCTAACAGTGAATGGCTTTTTGTTTGTTTTTGTTTTCCTATTTATAAACCATTGAATTCAGTGACTTCTACCTGAATATGCATAGGTGTGAGGCCATCAGAACATGAGCAACCCACCAGTGGCAACACCCACAAAGAAAACTGTCTCTCCCTTTCCTAACAACCATGGACAGCATAACTCCTCAGGAAGCGGTGGGGCCTTGTGAGCCCCTCCCCCAACTATGCTAATTTTATTGTATTTTTGAGGAAATGTCTCTCTGTAGTCTGGTGTCCTGGAACTCACTGTATAGACCAGGCTGGCCTGGAACACACGTAGAACCTCCTGTCTTTGCCTCCCAACTGCTAGGATTAAAGGCATGTGCCAGCTCACCTGATCCATGCTGGAATTTTGACTGGCTTGAGTTTGTTCAGATAACTACAAACGCTGTGAGTGTGTGAGTGCAATGACCATGCCATGTCCAGAAGACAGAATTTTAGGGTATTTTTACATTCTTTTCACCCACTCTTTCCATGATGTTCCCTGTGTGGGAATTAATATAGACACCCATTTAAGGTTGAGCACTCACAGTTACTTATTCTCAGTACTTTGAGCAGTTATACTCTTACTACATTGATCCATCAATCTGTCGGGATAGACCTACATATTAAGAAGGTAGAATGGCAACATGGCCATTTAGCAAAGGAACGACAATAGATTCTTACCTTGGGCCTATGATCTTCATAACCATGTATCTTAGTTATGGTTTTCTGCTGTGAAGAGACACCATGACCATGGCAACTCTTATAAGAAAAAAACATTTAATGGGGAGGGGGACTGGCTTACAGTTTCAGAGGTTCAGTCTATTATCATCATGGCAGGGCAAATGGCAGCCTGTAGGGCAGACACAGTGCTGGCTACATCTTGATCAGAAGGCAACAGGAAATGGATTCAGATACTGGGCAGTATCTTGAGCATAGGAAACCTCAAACCCAGTGACACACTTGCTCCATGAAGGCCAAACCCACTCCAACAAAGCTACACCTCCTAATAGTGCCTTTCCACATGAGCTTATGGGGACCAGTTACATTCAAACTACCACATTTCACTCCCTGGCCCCATATGTTTTTAACAACACTGTAATGCAAAATGCATTTAGTCCAATTTCAAAAGTTTCCATAGTCTATCACAGCCCCAACAGTGTTTAAAACTCCAAAGTTCAAAGTCTGTTTCGAGATTCATGCAATCTTTCAACTGTAATCCCCTTTAAAATAAAAATAAAAAACAGATCACATGCTTCCAACATATAATGTCACAGAATATACACTACCATTCCAAAACAGGGAAGGGAGCATAGTGAGGAAATACTGGACCAAAGCAAGACCAAAACCAGCCGAGCAAAGTCCAAACTCTGCATCTCCATCTTGGATGTTGAAACTATCTTCAGATCTCCAACTTTGCTCAGCTTTGTTGAATACAACACTCATCTTTCTCTTGGGCTGGTTCCACTCCCTTTAGTAGCTTTTCTTGGCAGGTATCCCCTGAATCTGGTATCTCCAACATCTTGGGGTCTTCAAGGCAATCCAGGCTTCAACCTCATAGCTTCAAACAATGTCATCTCTAGGCCTCCATTCAGGGACACATTTGACACATGATTGGCCTTAGAAGCTTTCCTTAGTCTTGGGGGCAATTTCGATAGTCCTTTTAATCTAC